CAAATTGGGAACTGTCTATATCAAATTTCATGCTTAAAAATTTTTTAAGATGATTTATGTTAACTACAGCCGGACATTGCAAAAATCGCCTGGCAGAAGCTAAAGTATTTTGAGCTTCATTACTATCAGAGGATTTGCTTGAGATGCTGTCAGCATCAGTATGATCAGCATATTCCAAAGAAAACGATATGACATCTTCAGGGCTAAATATAATTCTTTCAGTATCTTCACCGCGTTGTTCCGGAGTAGCAGAAGCAGCCGGACCTGGTCTTGAAGCGTAAAATTGTTGTCGACGTTCCATTTCCTTTTGAAATAGACCAGGCACAAGTTTGTAAACAATATCTTGAAGAGCTTTATCTAATTTAATGTTCGGTTTCGCTGAATTAATCATCATCTCACACACAGGGCAATAACTTTTCACTTGCAAATGCTTGATAATGCAACTTCGACAAAATGAATGTAAACATTCCACAATCGTGGTGGCGTCTATGTAATAACCTCGACATAATGTACACGTGATATGTTCATTTACTTCCCCAATTAATGTTCGTTGAGGTACCACGGCACTATTATTCTGTTCTGCCATCTTCACTATCTTTTCATCAGGCACTTTATTAGAAGTAACCATTTTTTACACTTACGACGTCAATTAACACGAAACCTATTTATGACCATTGCAACAAATACACACAATATTTAACTTTGATGGAATACTTTTCACTATAAACAACTGATTATTAACGAATATTATGAATCAATGCAAAATATCTAAAAGAAATACATAAAACCGTGTTAGCTTGCACTCGACATGATGTATAATGTTCATGTTGGTAACACTGGGAAAGACTCAAATATTGCAATAAATGTTTAATAACTAAATAACATTAACGGTAATAACGAAATGTCATATACTGTCTTGTGGATTTACGTCTTACATATTTACTCACCGTATTATTAGTAATATATCACCGGGAACAAATAGGTAAATTGAACTGAAACTGCAAGAGATTTTTGGCGCGAATATTGTAACAACTTTTGTCACGTCAAAAAAAAAACAGACAAAGAGCAAACAACATTACATAAAACATAGATAATATAATATAATGAATTGATTTGTCCATAGTACAAGGCAAAGAGTAGGAAGCCACGGAAAAAATATGCCAAAATAGCGAAGTGATCGCTGACCGTAGACGTCCACATTTTCAGTTGCGTTTTCTACTTCAATCGACAGAGGACTGGATACACAGGAAGTGAAATTTATCCCCTTCATTTACGTTCCCCCGTTTATCAAAGCCATATCCCTTCCAAATTCTTTCCTTATAAAAAAGGGTGGAAAGGACCACATTCAGGCCTCTAACTCGCACACTCATTAGACGAATTTGGACGAATCGGTGAATTGCTACCACGCCTGTCTTATGAGTGATAATGGTATTTTATTGGTTGAATCGGCTAATTACTACTTTAGACATTGTTGTTCTGCATTGTAATAAGTTTTCATCTTAAACTCTTTAGAATTTCGTAAGAAAATATTTTATGTTACTTCTTATAAAAATGAGAAATCTACGAAAAATATCATATTCCGCTCGAAACTAGTCGGTGCCACCGGATGAATATACGTGAGTGTTTAGCCGTTTTATATAAGTTTATCATATTCGTGTTAGATTATTGTCAACATCAAAAAGTTTTGGAGGATAAAGACATTTTTGTATTGTTAGTTCAACTTATATAAAAATTTTAATATGGAAAAACTAATATAATAAATTAAATCAATAAAGTAATTGCTTTAATTTTAGTATTAAGTGTATAATGTTTGTTAAAAAAACAAATTTCTTTTATTCACCTATATTGTGGGGGTTATACAATTGATCCACATAAATGGACAGGCTGCGAAACGTGATATTTTGTGCCTATTTGATTTTCACTATCTTAGCGATGACGGTTGCAATAAGAGGTGGCGGTGAGGGTTTGAGCTTTGAACTAATAGAGACCAATTTATCTGCCTTTACTCATGACATCAATTGACGTCAGGCGTTCAGGCATATTTAACAGTATTTAGATCGGAACGAACTAAAAGCTGTCATTCTTAAGCAGAGACCTATCCATTCACACAGATCACAGGGCTATACTCTATGGCAAATTTATAATAAACAACTGGCAATTCTGTCTTAGCGTTAGTTGAATTGTCATTTTGGGAAACGTTCTTTCTTTCACTCAGACCGCGCGTAGCACAAGCTGCGAAATTTAATCTTCAGTTATTGAAATAATCCTCACAGCTAAAGTTATAACAACCACGGCGCTTTAAAGTTTTAACTCTTTTTAAAATGAGGGCTAAGGTATTTTGCTTTTTATTTGTGTATTACCTTTCAACTTTTCGTAGTGGGTCTTGTGTTGAGAATTGTTATTATATTCCGTTTTCTAATTGTTACAGTGGCGTAAGAAGCGCATGCGAAGGCTAAAGCGTAAAAGGAGGAAGATGCGTGCGAGGTCTAAATAAGCGGTAAGTTTCATTTTTGAAATAAAGCTACGCACTTTGCAAATTAATTGAAAATATCCATTTGTAGCGGTAGCAACCTTGCGTGAAGTGCACAAATATAAGCAAGTTTGTACTTTGTATAACTTAGAATTCTAGCCGGGTTGGCTTCATAAAGAAGCACGTGTTCTGAATTTCCTGAGCTAACAGAGCATTACTAAAGCTTTAGAAATTGTAAAGATTTGGTCATAAGACATATGACATGTCGTATGGTAAAATTAACATTTTTACAGATTTCAATTTTCTATACATGTGAAAATCGTAAGACAAAAATCTTACTACCATTTACTTATTGTTTTCACATTTCATTTGAAAAGTCGTCATTAGTTCACTAGTAGTAACTTAAATAAGTAGTTACGCTGTAGTGTCCCATGTGCTATTTGGTCCATGTGTAATTAAAAAAAACCCTCTGAGGCAGTCGTTATCTCACTGTGAGAATAATGTAAAGAATTGGAGGGAAAATTAAAGGCTATCTCCACCCTTGTGAATATTTATAAAATTTCATGAGGACTAAAATATAGCAAACATAAAAATAATAAAGTAAATGGATTGCTCTTTGCAGAATGCCACCACTCACTAACACAAAGCTTTTATATTGAATGTGAGATCATGCACATATTTTAGTAGATACTATTTTCAAACTAACAAGTGTCTAATTAGTTAAATTTTGTTCTAGGTACATTGGCATGGAGGCGGATGAATGAAGAAAATTCTAAATTCCCTGCATACTTGTGTATCAAATAAAATTTTAAAAAATCCAATGTAATGTTTGATTCTGTGTGCCCCTCAATTCCGTTTTTTAATGCTAAAAGTTGGGATGTTCTGGTTTTAAAGTGATGTAAACCAAAAAAATAGTAAATACATTGGCCTTCTACACTATTGTTCTTGTAATCAATGCATTGAGGTACTCGAACTCTGACAATCTAGAAGGGATACACCACCCGAGAATTGTATCAAGTAGACCACAAATAATGTTCCTCATGTTTTAGTTTATCTTGTCTGCACCAATTGTTGAGAAAAAAACTAACATACTCTATGGTTAATACAAAATAAACAAAAGTGGTTTGTCTTTTTAAAATTCGAATTTTTTCATTATGCTGTAATTTTAATTTTCATTACTTTATTTTATTACAACTCAACGTATTGGTCGCATATGGGTCGCAGAGCAAGTATTAAATGGGAAAAATCTACGCTATGTAGACCCATACACAACATTATTTCATCTGATTTTCCGAAATACTTGCCTCAGCCCTGGAAATTTTCCGTAAGTACGCGCATAGCATATCCCGAAATTTCTATGATTACAATGAATTTTTAACTTGTAACAAGATAATTCTACTTTTTATTTGCATCACTACGTAAAACGTTCTGATATGGAGTACGTATGTATGAGACGACGAAGTTGTAATACAAACATAGCTAGACTACAACTTTAGCCGGTTTGAGAAAGTCTTCCAAATGTGAATAGTCGAAGTGAAAAAGAAAATCGTAGCTAGAAAATATTACTATCACTAAGTTTACCGGACAAGCCTATAAGATGTTTTAATACCCTGTTTACCTTTCGATATTCATAATTAGTCATATAGTTCTACCCCGTGGCTTGAAATTAAGAAATACATATTATATTAGCTGATTTACTATACAAACTTCATGATACTTTATACTGTCGCACATAATGATTTTAGTTAATTAGAAATGTTTCCATTCTATTGCATTTGCAGGAAGGTCCATCCAGAATAGAATGGCTATTATCTTACGAATATTATAGAATGTGGCTTGAGGAACGCGAAGCTTGGAAAAAGCGCATGTATCCAGAGAATACAACCGTTAACATCGATATAGTCAAACGTTATGTGTTAACCTTCAAAAACAACCATCAGCCACCCAAGCCGGTGAAGAAGCAACCATTTAAAATGAAAAAGTAAATACATTTATTGCAGTAATATTTAATACCTGAATACTATTTATTTATCAACTTTGGACAAAGCTCAACTCGACTTCCAGTCAATATCCAAAGGTTTCTGGAGGAAAGAGAAAAGGGGCTGGTCACTAGTTATTAGTATATAATGTCCAACGCTTGCTTACAGGTTTGAAGGCATAGGAAGTAAAACGGTCACCAAGCGCGATCCATCAGACAAAGCCATGAGTTATGAAAAGCGGAATAAGCAAAAACAAGCAGCAAAATAATAATTAGCAAATTTCTATTTAAATTTGAAATGTGAATACATATTTGATAAGATCAGTATTGACTTGTACATGATATTATATTTTGTATTTTATTATACGATTTTATAAGCATATTTGTACACTTAATTTATTTTTTTATTATATTTCTACATGGTTTATAAATTGCAAATGAGCGATTGAAAATAAATATGTGAATAATTCATCATTTTGTAGACGCAATGCTAAAACCAAATGATGATGCAACTGCAGTAGTTCAGGAACAAATTTAAATAAAACACTACAATCACTCTTCTTGTGTAAGATTTTATTAAATTGTTAAAACAATAGAGAATATAACTTGTAACATTTATCGAACACTTATTTCTCTTTTGTGAAATTATGGTTTGGGAAGAGATGTTTTTGTGTCGCGACTACACTATGGCTTGCTACAAACTTATAAGCTTCTAGATACCACTTGGTTTGAACACAAAAACCAAAACATAAACCAATAAATCACTTAACCAAATCAGTCAATTTAAATCACTATGTATGTTTTGATCCACCAAACTTAATTCAAGCAAAATTGTAAAAACTGTTTTAGAGGAAATAGTAAGACTTAAGTAATCCATATAAAAATGTTGTCAAGAGTCATACGATAAAAGTGATTGAACTATATATTTCTAAAAACAAATAGAGGTACCAATGTGTTGATTTGAGAAATTATTGTACTTAATTTTATCATTTTTGGCATATAAGACTGTAGTTATTTGGTAATTTTTCTCTTACATAAGTTACAAACTCAGATATAATTTTCCATTAGTAAACATATATTTTAATGTAATTGGAATGACAGTATTAGGCATTGTACTTGTAAACATTTTTCAAGTATTGTGGTATCTTCTGTATGTAATATGTTAGTTGAAGAAAATTAACCGAATTGGAAAGTAAATGAAGAACCGGGGAATCCGCCAGTCGGGAATTCGAAATGTTGGCCGCGGTTAAAGAACGCCTGGAAAACTACGTTCGGGTCGATATCTGAAAGTGGAAAACAAAAACGGGTTTAATATTTTGCTCGTCTTTGTTGTTTGATTTCACATCTATGGTATACATCGGGATGTATATATTATGTAGTTATTTATAATATGTGAAGTTACTACGATGCTATCAAATTAGATATGCGGCAATAAAAGAAAAAATCAATGAATATTATTAAGGGTATTTGAACACCAGTGGTGTATAGATGTGGGCGTGGTTTACCTGCACCAGAGCATCCGTCGTCGAGGTCCTGTCCGTGGTCATAGCGGGCGCGCTTCTTGGGGTCGCTGAGCACGCCGTACGCCTCGCCCACTTCCTTGAAGCGGCGCTCCTGCTCGCGCCGCTCGCTGTCCGACGCGCCGGCGTGCCGGTCCGGATGGTGCACCAACGCGCGCTTCCTATGACAACAATGTCGCGTATTATTATAAAATGAAGATTAAGACAGTTAAAACTGTTTTATTAAAAATTAATAATTTATTACCTGTACGCTTTCTTGATATCGTCTTCGGAAGCGTTCTTCTCGACGCCGAGGATTTTATAATAGTCTTTGCGTTTGGATTTCTTGAGGGCAATCTTAGCTTCATGTAGGAGCTGTTTGTTTTCCTTGGTCTTGTCGATCTTGAGCAGGCGCTCGTAGTCCTTGACGGCTTCCTCGTGCTCCCCGAGCTCGGTGTAACACTTGGCGCGGCGCAGTAGGGCCTTCACGTAGTTCTCGTCCAGTTCCAGCGCGGCGGTGCAAGCCTCCGCAGCTTCCTTTATCTGATTCAGTTTAGCACACACGGTTGCTTTGTTGTAATATAGTTTGGCATTAACAGTTTTATTGTTCTTGTCCACCTCTAGAGCCTCGTTGTAAAGATTAAGAGCTTGTTGCCATCGACCCATTTTGAAAGCCTCATTACCTAAAACAGAATATATATTATTTCATTACTAACAGTTATTGTTCAAGTCAGAGTAAAAGTAGCATTACTTGATAAAGTTGTAAATTAATATTTATTTATAATATTTACCTTCTTCTTTTTTCTGTTTTAAGAGCTTAGCTTTTTTATAGGTTTCCATTGCTTTCTTATGATCTGGTGCCAGTCGTAATACTTGCTGGAAATGCTTGAATGCCTGTTCATCTTTGTCCTGAAAAAATATTATCCAATAAGATAATTTGTAATTAGATAAGACATTTTCTCAACATCTTGCATGAAAAAATTAAAGTCGCATTTTACCTCAAAATACAGACATAATCCCCGAACAAATATGGCTTCCGTGTCGAAACTATTTGACCGTAGGCAGTCATTCGCAATTTCTTGTGCTTCTTGACAACGACCAAGCATTGCCAAGCATTCTGCTTTTGTTAGTTTTGCCCTGTAAAATATATTGTCTTAATAATATATTACACATAAATATAATTTGTTTTTAACAATGCTATTATACAAGTAGCTATAATAGACGATTGATGAAAAAAATTAACTTTTGAATAATATTTATTACATTAAAATCTAAGTAATAATCACAAATTTCATATAGCTATTTTTTATTATATTAAAAGGTGACAAATAAGCTGCTGGCATTCACCATGATTCAATCATTTAATAAGTAATTTCTTCTAAATAATAAATTGTCTGACGAAAGTAGTATTAGAGGCATTTTATAAAGAAAATGTGAGTCAGCATTACAATTACAAAAATGTATCAATACGGATATACGACGACCTTCTTGTTAAAGAGACAGACTGCAATTATGTTTACACATATAAAGCTCATTGTTCAAGGCAGGAAGATATACACTAAGGAAATATTGTTCACAACCATATCGGGCAGATTGGATATATAAGCCAATTACAGTGATTTATTTTTGCAAACTAGTTAAGCTATGCAATCACATGTAGCGTCGGTGGCTCAGGGGTCAAGCGCTTGACTTGCAATCTGCAGGTCCTGGGTTCGAATCCCGCCATGTACCAATGTGTTTTTCAATTTCCGAATTACATATGTACATTTATCCGACGTTCTTACGGTGAAGGAAAACATTGTGATGCAACCTGAACATATCTGAGAAGAAATTCAAAGAAAGTCAACCGACCCACACTTGGCCAGCGTGGTTGACTATGGCCTAATCACCCTTAACTCAGGGTAGGCTCCGAGCCCCTCGGTGGGGACGTATAGTGAGCTGATGATGATGATTCACATGTCGGTATCGGACTACGCATCGCGACGTACGAATTTTAACATACTTTGTATAGAAAGACACTTTTGCCTTGCGTGCCAATGAAGTAAAAAGATACACAGAGCAGTTGACGCGCCCCATACGCACTTCACGTCTCCCCTGCGATGCGTTCGAATAATTTTGTTGTTCTAGTAAAAATCGTTATTACTGCTAACAACTGAATTACTATAATCCAGTCTTCATATAAAAAGTTTTGAGTTACCATAGATTACAACTATTGTAATATATGTTCATATTGTATTTTATCATCTCTATTTCTAAATCACTAGGAGAATTTTCATGAATACAGTTGGAAATTTAATTTATTTTTAGTTTAAGTATAATATACATAATTTATATGGACACAGCAAATCTTTTAGGTGATAACATAATATATTGATTAATTAGATGCATACAAACTTATAACTTGTATGTCACTGAGCTTTGTAACCTTCAAACATACAGTTACATTTACAATACAACTATATTTTTTTCACTAAATTTGATAACAAAAACACTATTACAAAAGTGGACAAGATAAGATGGTATAATGAAGTCTATTTATAAATATTCTGTGGACAAATAAATCGAATGAAGGTTCAAATATAAACTTACTTGGTGCATGAAGGACTGTAATCAAGGCACCGGTCCATGCAAAATACAACACGGCGATAATCACCAGCATCCAAAGCTCGCTGTGCATCCTCATTGAGTCTGCGCAGGGTTTCAAGTGCACGTCTCTCACTTGTTACACAGTCTGGTCCACCAAGTTCACTGGCTCTTTGGGCTGCTTGATCACCACCAAATAAATCGCCTGAAATGTATGTATACTACTTAATTATCATCAGCCCAGTGGTCAGTGGTATTCTACGATTTCAAATGGTCATAGGCATATTTAAGGCCAGTTGTACCACAGTTATATAGATCATCCATTTACTTACCAAGAGCTATGCAGCATTTTGTGACACGTATATAACCTTTTGTGAATGTTGGATCTAATGCAACAGCTTTTTGAGCATCTTCTAAAGCCTTTTTGTACATGCCCATCATCATGTAACAGGCTGATCTATTTCCATAGTATGATGCATTATCCGGACATAGCTTTATGGCTTCTTCATACATTGCTAATGCACCTTTATAATTTTTAAATTTGTACAAGTGGTTACCACTTTCTTTCTTTTCTTCGGCCAGTCTACAAAATATAAACATTACTTCCTAATTAAAATGACAATGCAATTTTCTTCTTCACATTATCAAAGTACCAGGTGATACATTAATAAAAGTATATGTATGTACAATAATTTTAAAATATAAAATATGCAATATTTTTTATAGTTATGAAATAACAATCAGCTTTTAACCATTCCATCCATGCCATTGAAATATCCATATATGCCTATATATGTATCAAATGAATTTTTATATTTCATTAGACGAGAATTTTTGAAGTGTAAATGTATAAAATGCTTCGAACTTTTTCGTTCACCCACATATAAAGCCAAGTTACTGCATTACAAGTAGGTCAAATGTCAAGGTACTAAATAGTTAGAATAAAATTGAACATTACGATTAACCACTTTTACTCCATGATTTTTATAAATACGCAGACACAATAGAAAACAAATAAATTTTAATTTTAACAAGTTCACTTTTTTTTTAAATAAGTTACCTTTCCGGACTTTTTGGAACTAAATCGTCGATTGTTAAATCCAATGCCACTACTTCCGGCTCTGCCATTTTTGCGATTTATAATATCAAAAGGATATATTTAAACCCAAAATATCCTCTGTTATTTTGACGACTGAATCACAAAAGAAAGAAAAGGGTCTCCTTACTTTTATTGTCAAAATGGTGTTGGGAGTGTAAAAAAATAAATGATTTGAAGTAGTATAGATTATAAATATCACTTCAATATAACCTTATACTGCAAAGCAAAAGCGTATACTTGGCCTATATTTGAATCGGCATCCTGAAGGTGATAATAGGTGTATTAGAATGTAATGTAATATACTTGTAGCAAATGCCTTAGTTGTTTAACTTTAAATATTTTCTATATGGGCTAAATTAAATTCGCCTCTACTTACTAATCCTAATGGGCCATACGTTCATACCTATACCGTGGGCGGAATCAATCACATAAAAGGAAGTCTGTTTCTTACTGTTGTGGCTGAAAAATGAGTAATTTTTCAGCCGTATGGTAAAAACAATATTTACCTGCAAAACTACATTGGTTTGATGGATAAAATAATTTATAGTCTTCAGTTGTCAAGTGTCATGGTGCAGTTATATCTTATGTCAATGTCAATCTGTTGATTAATGAGTTGTGCCGTTATTTCTACGTTATATGCAGTTACATGTACAATAATTTATTTATGGCTTTACTCTTAAGTATTTCAGGAATATTATATATTTTTAAAAGTGATACATAATGGGGGATACGGTCATGACGGGAAATGAACATTTTTACAATAATGGTGAAATAGAATGGCAGCCTTTAGCACTAACTTTAGTCGAATATCCTAAAGGTAAATTATTATGTAGATCTTTGATAAAGGTATATTTAATTTAAGGTCCCAAGAAGGACTTACATATTTCTAATCATCAAAGATTTGAAGAGACTGAATAGCGATAATTTTAATAGAAGCAACTTATGTTTACAAGTATTCCGTTCGAAGTTCGTTTCAATTTTTAGACGTATTATTGTGTTTCAATTTCAGGTGATTTGATTGGTAAAATCTTTGCTCTAATAAGTTTGGCTCCCTTTGGAATTGGAGCGGGATTTGTAACATTAATTTTATTTAGGCGCGATCTTCACACAGTAAGTTTATTTTATAAAGAAAAACAATTTCTATTTTATTCGCATCCATTTCAAACATACGTATGCTTTATTTCAGATAGCCTTCTTTTTCGGGACTTTACTCAATGAATTATTGAATATAATATTAAAACATTTAATATGTGAACCTAGACCACTGGCAAGAGGTCATTTATACAATGAATATGGAATGCCATCATCACATGCTCAGAACATATGGTTCTTCAGCTTTTATGTTCTATACTTCTTTGTAATAAGGTAAGTTATTTTAGTTAACAGTGTTAACTCTTTATAACATTGCTTAGGTGACTGACCATTTTATGACATTAAAGGGAATGGATGTTAAATCAAATGAAGAAAAATATATTCTTTTTTATACTTGTATGTACTTCTATATTATCAATTGTATTTCTCCCTCTATATGGAGCATATTAATAAAAAATAGTCACTATGCAAAGAATTTCGTTAACTCCCCAAGTTTACAGTTCAAAAGTGTGAAGCAACTGCAAACAATATGTGCTAGATATTAAAGCAACATATGACCAAACATATATCATATGTTATTGTTTTATAATGCCACTTTTCCGCTGTAGTAGGCGCAATATATTATGAAGTTTTATAAATGTATGGAAAACAGGGTAATCCAAAGTTTAACAATTTCAACTTTTTAAAAACAAAAACTAGTTCATATTAAATTTATTTGTTAAATAATGAATAAATTTCAGATTACATCATATAAACAACAATAGTATAATTTCTGCACTATGGAGAGTCATTATAGTGGGTGGTTGTTTCATTCTGGCGGTGCTAGTGAGCATTGGCAGAGTGTACTTGCATTATCACACTGTATCTCAAGTGGTGGTTGGAGGTATCATAGGATTAGTATTTGCAACAACTTGGTTCATTGTTGTGCATAGGATTCTGACACCCCTATTTCCACAATTAGTATCTTTGTGAGTATACTTTTTTTATATTATAGTAAACATCAATAAATATGTGTATAACTGCGAGAATTACCTTAAAAATTTAGTATGCAATCCTTTAGTACACAAAAATTATTTTCTGTGTATAAATCATATAAAGGTTTAATGTGTAAAGCATTGACATTGACTTATGATAAAAATGTACATTATACATGATGATTATGTATAATATATCATGGTAAATAAACTTCACACTGAGTTTTACTAAAGTTGTTTATTTTTATTTGTAGGAAACTATGTGAAATATTAATGATACGAGATACAACGCTAATACCTAATGTATTGTGGTTCGAATATACAAAGTCAAGGCAGGAGGCGCGGGCGCGCGGCCGCAAGATGGCGTCCTTGAAGACAACACAATGACGCTACGCCTGCGAGCGCGCTTGCGCCCCACCCAAGAAGCGCGCGTGACGTTTCGCCGCCGCCGCAGCTTTCGCGCTCATCGGCGGTATTGTTTTTATAATAACAGAACCTTTCTCATTAATCTTTTCCTGAGAAACGCTTTTATTTCTTAATTTGCATTACACTATGCAATTTATAACATAATAGTGACATTCTAGGGTTATTTATCAATTGATCTAACTAAAAGAAATGCAATAATTATGAATATGATTAGTATAGCCATGGCAGCTTGACTTAAATGCATTTTATATTGACCATATGAGCAAAATATTTCAGAAGGAACAGCACACGTTTTTAAGGTTGTGTCATAGGATAATCGTAAATTTAAAAAAGTGGGATAACAAAACTAAGCTTAATGGATATTGCTGTGTTGTATCAACTTATAAGAAAAACAGTTTGGACCCAATTCTGCAATAAAAATTTGTAGATAATTAGAGTAAGGGATTTTAAATATTTCTTAATAATTATTCGAATAATTTAGAATCCTAAAACATTGCAATATCTACATATCTTATGGATTCCTATGTCGGCTTTGATACACTATGTCTCAATTATGTTTAAGACATAAAATTAGAATTCTTTATAGCTAAATGATAGTTGATATGATACAGCAGTTTAGAATGTATGGATTTTAAACACCCTTACTGCCTTTACATAAATCTAAAAAATTTAAAATAGATTTAAAATAATTTTTTTATGTAGATTGTTAAATTTATTCAATTAGCTGCCTCAAATAATCAATAATCAAAGAAATATTTTATGATAAAATCATTAAAAAACTTGAAAAAATGTGAATGATAACCATATTGTAAGAACAAATAGTGGGAAATAGTGTTTTATATTTTTTTACATAGTAATGTAATTTTTTATTAAATTATATGGATGTTGTCATATACAGTAGTAAATAAATTTTGTGAAAATAAATTTAGTGAGTTCACTCCACATTGTTGGAGAGATTTTGTTTAACTTCATAAGAATTAAACAATTATTTTATTTGTTTGAATCTTAAAACTTTAATAGGAAATGGATTTAACTAAAGTAATATGTTGCCTTCCTTTAATCTTTTAATGTTGTTCATTGTTTGTATATTTTCATTGTGTGTATTAGAATAATCATAGTAGTAAAATTTCTTTTTAATCTGTTGGTCACTATATTTCTTATAACTGTGGTTTTTTGGCCAATTTTATTTTCTAGATTAAGGAAAAAATGAGGATTAACACCAGACAAAATCGACAATACCTCTATATTAAGATCCCCGTATCTTTAAATAACTTTTTCAGGTAGAATAATTTAGATTGAATACTACTATTGTTACGCTAGCTTACGTCAGTCATATTTCTATATAGTTTATTAATGTTGTCTTAGATATCCCTAAATAATGTGAGTAGGCAAATATTATTCAAACAATTCTTAGTATCTCTTGAACAAGGATGACATTTGGGTTTGAAAAACATGTTGTCGATACATTCATCGAGATCTCGTGCTAACTAAAGCAAAATGTTACGTAAAAAATTAAAAATAAAAGTAATTTTATTGAAAACTGTAACTTCTGCCTACTTCTTTATTCGAGGGATGTAAGTTCTTTAAATATATGTATATAAGTTTTTTCAGTCTGAGTGATCTGTAAATATATTTGACCAGAAATTAATATTTAATATGTTTTTATTGCGTACTGATGCATATTTTGCAACTATTACAAATTAATATTAAATCAAAGGACTATAAAATGAAAAACAAAAAGAAAACAATGTCGAAAAAGCGTAATACGTATGCATAAATATGCAACTTATTACGCTTGTTTATGGCAAGGTATGTTTATTTCTTTTTTTATTCGAAATGATCTCTATGATATAATATGCTCAATTTATTTTACTTTAAGCATATTGTAACTTACATAAATCATTTTATGATATATAATAAAATAATTTTGACAAAATAGTACACGCGTAGACTGTATCGTATTAATTATTTTGCTTTCAAATTATAATTTATATCACGTGCATAATACATATAACCTTTTTAGGATGTGTTTGCAAAATGTCAAGACATACTCTATTATGTATTTATAATGCTATTAATATTATAAATGCGAATGTTTGGATGGATGTTTGTTAGAAAGTATCTCCAGAACGGTTGCATGGATATCGCTGAAATTTGGCATATATATATAGAGCATAGTCTGGAAGAACACATAGAATACTAATAAGATTTTTAATTTCAACGCGTACAGAGCCGTGGGCGACAGCTAGTTAAAAATAAACGAGATAATTTGTAAAAAAATACGATTTACAATCGAAAGTAATAAGGTTGCGGTCAACAATTGACTTTTGTGGAATATGGATTGTCTGGGTGAGCAATTTAAACTTACAAATACAATTTTTAAAATTTTCGCGAAAGCATCCTTTAAAGCCAATTAAATTATGGTATTATCAAATTTATTTATTTACTATTTAATATATATATAAAGCAGTTTATATGGCTGTTACTTTAAATATTGTAAAATTTGTAGACTTTGGAATAGTAAGTTATTTTATTGTTCAATATAATTTATACACATTAGAATGTTATTTATTTATTAATAAATCACCTTTTCTCAATTAATGGTTACATAGAAAAAAAATGAAAGTTATAGTATATGTATGGCTTTTTCAAATTTAAACAATCTAGTTGTATTTTCTTCATAACTTGGTATTAAAACTTGGCCCGTGCAACATATTTACTAACCGGACTCACTTCAGTAATCAGCTTTAAAGTCAAAAATCTTTAACAACAATTAACAAGAAATGTTCAAGGTTGAGGGAGTGCTCTGGATGCGGATACTGAACCGGGTATTGTGGAAAGCGATAGAGGAAGCCTATGGTCAGTTGACGACCTTGATGATGTAATAACTTGAATATGTTTACCTGGGCTTAGATCCTCTGTTTGAATTGAATGATTGGATTGACATACTTCTACTAAGCTTTCCAACCATTGCTGAGAAATGAATATTGTTTTTTTTTTTTATTTTCTACATAATGCATCATTTAACGATTTTAGAATGTAACGCACCTTATTATATGGAATAAGTCGATTTGTTTTTTTCATAAATGCAAAATTTGCTTTTTGACCCAAATCTACTAAATGTTTAGTAACTTCGGTAGTAGACATAGCTTTGTTCAAAACTCCCTTTAAAGTTTGCGGGTCTTTTTCTAGCAAGCTAGGGAAAAGTATAGCAAGAGGTTTTTTATCCAATCCATTTTTGCAATCTACCTGTAAAATAAAAATAATCGAAAAGATTTAAGAACTGGTTAATGCAATTTAGAGACAAAAAATGTCAAGCCAAATCACTTAAACTTTTTAAAACGAATACCTACACTTGGGTGTGAAGGTACAAATTTTGTATTAAAAAAGTTCAAACACTATATTACCAGTTGCGGTAACTCCTCTTCTTCCAATTTGTCGTTATAGGTCGGTTTTGTTGTTGAAGATTGCAAAATATCCACCCATTCTGAATCCTTGGCTAATAATGGAGGCAAAGGTTTTGTAACATTTCCCTTCTTACTATAGTCAGATTTCTAAAAAAATAATTTTCAATTATACCACGCCCTGACTAAAACTGCATTGAAATAAAATATATAAACTGGTTTATATATTTTTTTTAATTCAAGATTTATCGCTAACTGATACAGACAGAGGAAGTTAACGTCCATAATAGCACTCGGCGGCGGTCGAAGTGTTAAAAACAAGTGTTTAACTAAGCAATGTCGAACTGTACTTTTTGGAGTAATAAAGTAAGGGTTCGCAAAATAACCATTACGGGACTTTGTGTGTGGCAGGAAATTTGATGTCATTGTCTATTAAATTGGAACGCTTTTTAAGCTCGAGCCTTAAAAGGCTTAATGCGCTCATAAAGTAGCGGGTATAAGTATGAAAAAACGTGAAACATTGATAAATCAAAATGAATAAATATAGGTACACATTTTTTAAAGTTGAACTTGAGAATGTTTTATGTTTAGATCTCTTTAAATTTTTGTTAGTATTAGTACTATTCATTTCTTCAGTAAAATAACCATTTTGATACTTTTGAGGCCAATATTTTGTTTATAAATAGTATTGTTTACAATTTTCTAGGCATTGACAAGTAAAAGTCAATTATGTTCATAGATTAAAAATATTATAAATTTCCATTCACTTCAATTCTATAAAAAGGTTTAAATTGTTAATAGCATACAAAAACCGAAGAGTAGAAAACTGCATACAGTCATAAGCATTTTGAAAGACCTGTGTCCAACCATGGGCAAAGGCATGATGTTAATAATTATGCTTTTATAAAAAAAAAACTATTTAATTACAGGTTTTATGTGACAAATAAAATATGTGTCTTTTCATACACTATTTTGGAAACCACACCAAAAAATTTGTGGTAGAAATTGAGATTAAAGAAATGATTGAAGATAAGGAGATACTATAACTAGAATGAAATAAAAGATAAAGACTATTATTGAATTTAATAGAAATGAGAAATTGTATTAAACATTTACTGGCTAATACTTTCTATATTATTTCCATGAACATTTTGTTAAAAACAATTTAATAACAGCCTAAGGAAGGTAAAATAATTATTTTTATCATTTATACGGAATTCGACTTTGTTTAAATTAAAACCAAAACCAAATTAAATTGCTCTTAAGTCTAAGAATTATTTATATTTAATAATTAAAAATAAGCATGCTACATTCAATTAACAAACAATAGCTACACATTGTACTATATGATATATTACAAACTCTTTAAAAGTATGGGTTATTTTAATTATGAAGTGTATCAACAACAATTATTTATTTTATTCAAGTTACATTTTCATCTTAAACTTTACTTGAAATACACGTTTTCAAAAATATTGAAATAAATCAGAAATAAAATGGCATTGTAAATATGGTTTATATTATTGTTTAAAATATTTTGCCTTTTGCCTGAACAATATCCTTATGAATAATCATCATCTTCATCATCTTCAGGTTTAATAGCTACAGGAGGAGGCACATAGGGCTGCGGCACACCTTCAGGGCCCACCAGACCTTGCTGTTGTAGTAACAACCATTGCTGTTGTTCTTGTTTTGCTTGTTCCTCACGAGCCTACAGTTATAAATACATACTTGTTATGATTTTCATCAGAATCACATTTTTTAAAGAAAATATATTGCAAAGTAGATGTAGCAACAGCCTAGCTTATTAGCTGTTAGGCAAAATAGTTCTATTTAAGCTCCTCTGGTCATACCAATCTTTCAGTAATAGCTAGAGTTACATCAGTGAATTTAAAAGTTTGTTGTATATTTATTGGTATTTTTTTTTATTTCATATACATTTGACGTCAAATTGTTGGCTGTAAAGGTCATAATACAATTTCATTCTTACCTTTGCAAACAGCTCTTGCTGTTGTCTTAATAGCTCTTCTTCAGGTATTCCTAAATTTTCCAAGCGGGTACTTTGTCTTCTTCTTTTAGCAGCTACAGCTTTACAATCCTTTAAAACTGCTTCTGCTTCCTCAGTATAGTCACTAAATCCTAATCTGTCTAAAGCTGTGAAAAAATTTAGAACTACATTGATATTTATAACATTTGATGCCCAATTATAAACAACAGCATTTAAAAAAACAATGAGCAAGGAATAATATTTTGCAGTGTTATTAGTAAGTGACAAAAACTTATTTCACATCATTCAACATTCTATTAATTGTGTGAGTAACCTTAGTATGCTCCACTAAATATATAAATTAACTTTACTTAATACCTGTAAGTACATGTTCTGCATTAATTGTTTTCTTATTACTTTGATTACAGACTTCATTTGCTTCTGAACTAATGAGATGAATAAACTCTGTGCAGCAGTTCAAAATTAACTCCCTCGATTCAAAAGCAATCCGAACGGACGGCACTAGTTCTTTTATCATTTTATTAATGCTCGCTCTAGGAAGCGTCAGCTCATCTTCCTCAGAAGGCGGTGGACATAATTCTCGTTCTGGACTGCCCATTTTCGTGATTTACTATAGGCTATGGGATGTTTTCGTTTATCAAATTTATTTTGATGTTCTTTTGTTACCTATAATTGCGGAAGTTAAATAATAAATTTACATTCGTCTCTTTGGTTCTGGGATCAAGTATAAATATTAAATAATTCTTTGTTTCAGCTCCAACGTCAATTACAATAATTGTTTTACAATTTATAGTTTGACATTGAAAAAAAAACATTGAGAAAACTGACATGCTGTCACTCTTTTGGTCTTAGATTCGAACGTATTGCAAAGAGTATATAAAATGTAAAAAATAAATATTAAATGTAAATAGATGTAATAATGATATCTAATACGATAAAATGTACTATAAAATGGTTAATAGCCCACTATATTTCTACATCATTTCCTAACTTCTGGCGATTGCAAGATTTGCTACTAATGACCCGAGTTTTCGTTGTAAAATGCATGATGCATCTCAAAATATTAGCAAATTAAACATCACTCGTGATATTGTATACCTTATCATCATTAAACATGCAGCTGCCGTTGTCCAAATATGACGCTGTCAAGATGACATTGTTAGTTCCAGGCTACTGGCTACTACATTGCTGCGTTACTGTACTGGAATAGTATGAACAAGGCTGTCATTGACAGCTATAGTGGCCGAGTTGTTTTTTTTATAGGTTAGGTTTGATGTTTATTATTGTTCATAGGGAATAAAAGTAAAAATCTGTCACAGATGGTTTTATAAATGAATTATTTTTTTTAGTATTAATACAAAATGGCTTTAACCTTTACCGTGCAAGCTGAATGTGGGATGACAAAAGCTCGCGCCGGTTTAATGAAATTACCGCACTGTGATGTCCGAACACCAGTATTTATGCCAGTTGGAACCCAGGTTTATAATACTTTCTTCAAAGTATACATATTAGAGTCGTAATTTACTTGTAAATTTTAACTATCAAATTGTTTCAGGGCACTATGAAGGGATTGTTACCTGATCAGTTGTTGGCTTTAGATTGCGAAATTATTTTAGGTAACACATATCATTTAGGTAACCGCCCTGGTACTCAGGTTCTTGAAAAGGCTGGCGGCCTTCACAAATTCATGGGTTGGAATAAGTCTCTTTTAACTGATTCTGGAGGTTTTCAAATGGTTTCATTATTAAAATTAGCAGAAATCACAGAAGAGGGTGTTAAGTTTAAATCTCCATATGATGGATCGGAAATAATGTTAACTCCGGAAAAATCAATTGAGATTCAAAATTGTATAGGTAAATTCTGTACTACACACAATTGTAATTTTATTCATACTTTAAACACAACCAAAATATAAGAAAGGTTTTTTCCTTAATGTTTGCCAATAGGTGCTGATATTATAATGCAACTGGATGATGTGGTTCAAACGACATTCCAAGATTATGACCGTATAAAAGAGGCCACAGAGAGAACAAGTAGATGGCTCGATAGATGTCTAAAAGCACATAAAAGGCCTGAAGAACAAAGTATATTTCCAATTGTCCAAGGCCTGTTAAATAGCGAGTTAAGACGTAAAAGTGCAGAAGATCACATGACTAAAAATGTTAATGGTTTTGCAATAGGAGGACTGAGGTATGATTTTATTATTTTATGAAAAATTAAGAATTTTAAAAGCTAATTTGGGAGGCCTTATTACACATCAATGTAATTTATGAATTTATTAGCCCTAAAAATATGTTAGCACATATCTAGGAAATACGACCCCATTTTTCTTGACAAGATGTAATAAATATTGAATATGCTATTTGCAATTGGCAAGGCTTTCCAATATTTACAACATGAAATATAAGATATGTCCCTTACTTTTTTACAGTGGCGGTGAAGCAAAAGATGATTTTTGGCCAATGGTCAGTTTGGGAACTGAGGTTTTGGATAGAAATAGACCCCGCTATTTAATGGGGGTAGGCTTGGCTATTGATTTGGTTGTATGTGTTGCTCTTGGTGTTGACATGTTTGACTGTGTTTTTCCAACTAGAACTGCTGTAAGTAATCAGTTAGAAAATTAATTTGACATAGTCTTCAGTATAATTTTTATCCATTTGTAAAATTACAGAGATTTGGATGTGCTCTAGTCAACAAGGGTCAACTTAATTTGAGACATAAGAAGTATTTAACTGACCTCAACCCAATTGATAAGGATTGTACTTGTTCAACTTGTAAGAATTATACAAGAGCATACTTACATTGCATAGTTTCAGTTGAAACGGTGGCATGCCATTTGATTTCAGTACATAATATTGCATACCAGGTAATATGATAAAAATTTGTATCAATTTTATTAGTGCTAGCTTTGGCCCGGGACTTCGTCTGCCCGGAATTAAAAAAAGGGTGACAAGTCTCATGTATTATATGAGTCTATTTTGTATATCTGTGCCAAATTTCAATAAGATGTGATAAATTATTGTGGATTTATCAAGTAGATATGTGTTCAAATGGGCCCAAGGAAACCATATACATGGGTTTTTCCAGACTGTGTACTACATCCATACCAAATTCTATTGAGAACTATGCAGATATTTTGGAGAAACCTTCTAATAAACAACCATCATACATTAAAACTTTCAAATTTATAATATTATGTTTGATTGTCAAATATGGCATATACATGTTTACGTAAACATTAAAAATATTTTTCAGATGCGATTGATGAGAACAATGCGGCAAAATATTATTAATGGAACATTTGTTCAGTTTGTGAAAACATTTATGAAAGAGGTTTATCCTGATTTAAATTATCCCAATTGGATTATAAATTCTTTGCAATCTGTTGGAATAAATATATTGGATTAAATTTTTTTTTCATTATTTCATATAAAAAGGTGTTATACTAACAAATAAACTCATAAATTATTATACAGGGTAATCAAGGTGATCTTGTAGGAGAGGGCACATAACCACACACAAATGTTTTTAAAGATTTATATAATTTAATAAATATCAATTAACTTTACATAAACTCATCTGAGTCATTACCATCGTAGTTAGTAGACATATTTTCAGTTCTCATAAGGGTTGCATAACTTCTTAATTCTTGCTCTTCTTTTTTGCGTTTTTCTTCTTCTTTTTCCTTTTCCTTCTTTTCTCTTAGCAATTTCTTTTTATCCTCTCTCTCAGACCTGTCTCTATTTTCTCTTTCTTGTCTTAAATCAGGAAATGCTTCTTTCTTTGTCTTTTGTAGTCTATTTACAATTTCATTAGATCTTTTAGCAACTTTTACTTTTCTTACGTCTTTATCTCTATGAAATGCTACTTGACCCACCTGTAAACAAAAAAGAATTTGTTTATTTTAATCTCTTAATATATTCTTTAATAATGTTTCCTATTATTCAATAAAGTATCACATTTTACCGATTAAGTCTATAATATAAGAATTCAACACTTACCTCCATGCTTGGTGTTTTTTTAAGGTTTGACCACATAGTATATACTATATCTATGTCGTTCATTTTGTTACCCATTATTGAATTGGCCTTTACTAATTGACATGCATCATCCAAAACAGAATTTGGGATGTCATCTATAGTTTGACCCTGAAATTTTTTTAATTTTAATATTGATTTTGAATAATTCAGCCACAAGGTTTCTATGTAGTATAGGAATAAACATTTTTATAAAATTCAGAGTTATTTTACTCACCGGTGCTAAACGTAGATAAACATGGGCTGATGATACTTTATCCACATGAAACCAGACATCTTCAGGCCAACCCCACTTAATCAAGTCTTCATCTGAAATATTTTTTGTTAATGTGGTTTATTCTGACATTAAACCATTATATTTCAAGTGTCAAAAAATTGTCTGAATTTGTCAAATTGCTGTGAACAATTTAGGATTTCACTTGATTCACTGATAAACAGATAAAATGCTGCAACTTTTACATATTTCCCAGGGATATTCAAGACAAAAGTATACAATTGGTATACATTTTATGACCACCCTGCTATTGGTAAATAGCATGTGAGGAGCAACATCAAATCACTGAAATTGGAAACACTTACTTTCATGCTTATCAGCACCCATGAATAATGTCACTGATGGAGAAACTACATTACTAGTAAAGTAGAAAACCATGGTTAATTCGTATTTTTAATCGTGCAACTGACTGTAAATTGTAAGGGTTAGATATATTCAGGTTATAAAAGCTGGAAAGTTTCTATTGTACAACTTTATTCAGATAATAAAAGATATTTTCAAAATCACATCTAACATATTTCGGGATAAAACATTTTGATGAATTTAGGTGATAGATATAAATAAAAGCCTTTGTTAATTTTAAGAAAAAGAGTAAAAATAATTATTTTGAATATTTATGACAGTTGTTGTATCCTCGTCATATCACTTGGTAGGGATAGGGTTTTGACATTAAACGTCAGTCGTCATTTTTTTTTGAAATAAATGAAAAACTGCTAACTGAACATACATTCTGCCAAAAATCTTGCTGTTTTAGGTAGGTTAATTAAAACTGTTTTATTCTCTTATTACGGTGTATTTGTAGATATATTGATACTTATAATTTTGAAGCCATTGCGAAGGCATTGATTCTATGCACACCACACAATCGATGTACACTCTGACACACTCTATGAAATTCCTACTTTTATTCTATATTGGTAGTTGTATCTATAGTAGTAGTCTATTTGGTTCAGTTGGTAGTTAAAAAAAAATCTAACCTATGAATGTTGTAATAATGCAATATTTTACAAAAAATAATTTTTTGCCTGGGTAATTCACGCAAATAGTGTTATTAGCATTTCAAAATCTCTACAAACATTCACATAATACATCACTGTGACTAGTAATAAGATTAATAACGATTTTGGTTTTTCAATACGAAAAATTGATCTACAAATACAAATAACATGTAAGTGCATTCATGGTTTGAATTATAGTGTTAGCAAATAATTGTACTGAAATATCAAACTCGACAAACATAATATGTCAATAAGTTTTTATTTCAGCATGTTTGGAATAGATTGCATAGTAGTTGTCCTACCACGTGTTAGCTCGATTTAAGCGACTATGGTTCGATTCCAGTGTCGTCTTATATTTTTTTTTATTGTTCTATTTATTTTTCAAGCATTTTTGGATCTATTTTATTTTTAAAGATACAATTACAATGGTGACGTAAATTTGATGTTCTACATCTGTATTCAATCTGCATTTTTGATTATTTTTGTTGTATTTTTTTTTTATAAATTATTTATTTGTTTTTCCAATAATACAGTTTATTCAACTGTTAGCTGAATGACTATCTGGCTCTGTTTCATGTCACTTATATTTTGCACAGCTTCAAAAGGTCTTGGTTCAAATCCTTGGTTGATATGATTTTTTTTTGCTTTTTTGATTGTTGTCAATGTTTTCAGTGTCCTGTTATAAACATTAGGATGTGTCTTCATAGTGCATGTATAAAACAAATTATATGATGATGGATAACAATTCAGTTAAAAATATTAAGCCGTCCAAAGCCTATGAAAATTCTTTAGAAAAAAATGAACAAGAAGTACTTGTTCTGCCACCTAATCTGTTACAAGAGTTAGGTATTAATTTAGGAAACATTCCAAATACATCTGATTATGCTATAGTCAAAGGTAACCCTTTTTACAATTTCATAACTTAATTTTGGTTAGTTTAAATTTTTTTTTAAAGAAATTTTAATAAAATAAAATTTCCATTTTTTATATTAGAGTTTTTATTTAGCTTCTTCTGGGTACATTTAATTTTATTAATGTTTTATAATAAATTTTTGGGCCCTAAAGGCTTTCTTAACTTTTTGTCAAATAATTCCAGGTAATGTTGAACCCAGTGAATTGCAAAGTGGAGAAAAATCTGAAGAGTTAGATAATGTGGATGAAGAAGTATCTGGACATATATGTGAAAAATCTGTTAAATTAAGCGTTCCAATTTTATCTTCTATTAACATTCCACAGCAGAAGGAAGAACATATCAATGAAAATAATGTTGCATACCCATCTAACATTAAACAAAACAATATTAACATCAACATAAACCGAAATGGAACAGAAATAGATGGAAATACTGACATTGAAATACAATCCAGTGTTGAAAGCAATTCAGATAAAAAATACCAAAAAAAGCCTAATGTATTTAATAATAATACTAGAAATGTAGAAATTGGTGAATGTAATTCACTTAGCCAAAATTCTAGTCATGTAAATTCTAGTAATGATAAGAAAAGTAAAATTAATATTATATCACAGGAAGTTTTGAATCATGGAAGTGCTGAAACACTTAAGAAGTTCAAAGTTAACCCCACACCCAAAAATGCTTTAATTCCATTAAAAATTAATACACCTATAGGAAAAGTTCTTAAAAGTTCATCAAGCTTTATAACAAGTGCTACAAGTGAAAATTCAATTTCATTGGAGCCTGAATTTAGAAGTAATAAAATATTAGAAACAAATGAATCATCTTGTACCATGCATTCAGAAGAGAATGATATGAATACAAACAATTTTAACAACTATTCTGATGTTGATGCTGTTGATGGTTTAACATCAGATAAGGACCTTGTTTCCTCTGATATAAAAAATGCAAACCTTAATGATAAAGAAGCCACAGAAGAAATTGAAGTTTATTGTGTCATTGATGATGAAATGCATAATTTAAGTGAAGAATCAAATCTTCCAAATGAAAATAAAACTGTTGATATGGACATAAGTGATGAGACTCCAACTCCTTCTACCAGTTTGGTCTCTCCTATATCTGTTAGCAACACATTAACTGACTCACATCAAATTAAATTAAAGGAGGTTGATAAAGATGTTGAAATTTATACAGAAAAAAATAATAACATTACAGAAAATTTTGACGAGTCTAATATTTCAGCTAGTGATAAACAATCCATGGATGAAAGTAGGCATAACAGTGTGACAGAAAAACCTTTTTATTTAAATCAATGTTTACTAGAAAAAGTAAATTTATCACCAGACCATTTAACAACTAAATCTAAGTTATGTATACAAGGTGTTGAAAAACCTGGTGGAATAATTGAACATATTAGATTGCAAACAGAGAAGATAACTTTAAGAACATATAAAAATGGAAAGACTAAAAGTAGATTTAAGAATAAAACACATGATGTGATATTAGTTAGTGAAATGATTGCAAAAACCTATGACAGTACAGATGTATGCACCAATTTGAATAGTACCAATGTTACCTGTGTTACAAAACAAATGTGCACTTGTAATGATTTTGGTAAATTGCAGTTTGATGATGATGAAAACGAGTGTGGTCATGTACATTTTTTGCCCAAAAATACAGTAAACATGAAGCCAACAATATGTGAAAATTTCAGTGGAGATGCTAGCAATGAAGATATATTATTTGAAACTAATGATAATTATGAAAACAATGATGGCCAACTCAATGATTTGAGTAATATTTGTTACACAGATTTTTCAATTTCAGAAAGTGATGTATCTGAACAATTCAGTGAAAATGAAAAATCATTATTAAGTGAAACATGTGTAAATATATTTGATGAGAGTATGAATATTTCTAACTTTGATAGTACAGATGATATCAAATTTCATGATTTCAATCCCTTTTCAACTCCTGAGGTGAAGGTGGTAAACATTTTTGCTGGAAACAAATTATTAGGACAAGTAGGTATCCAAAATGTTCATATTATCCCTTTGAAGGAATTTTAAAACCCTGATACTTTTTGTTCACTAGCCTAAAGGAGGCCACATCCTTTCTGGATTGAAGACCTTTCAAGGCCTTCTCAATTTTCAATTTTTAGTTTTCTTTACATATGCTTGTTTTTTGTTATTCATAAGGTAGTTTTCCGATATCTTGGCAGCTCATAACATGTCGGATGTCTTTGGGCCTCCAAGATATTTGAAAAGAACTATAACAAAAAATATTATTTGACTTGGAATTGACTTTTTTTAGAAACGAAAAAGAACATTTAACCAAGAAGAGGAAGGAATATTTCCACAAGGTACTGACGTGAATTATCATAATGCGCCAAATGCTAAAAAATTTATCTCATACGTTAAATGCGCGGTTTGCTGCAAAGAAATAGCGGAAATCGATTGGGATAGCCATTTGTCTGATATACATTGTCATATAGCTTGGAAACAAGGCTCTAATATGATAGTAAGTGAAAATTCCAATACTACAGAATGCATTATTCATTTACTTCCAACTTCTAAGTAAAATTTTTGAAACTTCTTGATATGAAAAACTTGATATTACAAACATTTTATATGTATTGTTTTAATAAAAGAATTTTTCCAGGATCTCGATGATAAAAAATTGATTCAAAAATTGTCCACAACCTTAAAAAAACGGAATAACCTGTGTTGTACTTTTTGTAATCACAAAGAGAGAGATTCGAAAAAATTTTTAGCACATTTGAAAATATGTATAACGGTAATTATTAATTTTATATTTATAATCTTAAATATATATTTTCAGAAGTGTAATGAGATATTTTGTTACAGAAAATATTTACAAATGTAAATATAAGTGATAGTAATTTTTCTGATGATATAAATATTGAAAATAATGACACTATTAAGTGCGAGATATGTCGCGAAAATGTTCCCATCGCCCATTGGACAGAACATATGACCATAAGGCATGTTGGCAGTAAGGCACAGATTGAAATATCACCTCATCCAATTGAGGTTATTACCCTTTATTTACCTTTTTTAACAATATCCTACTTATCATTATTTGTATTGTAAATAGTATGTAATATAAAATAAAATTTAATTTATAGAATATTATAAAAACAGAACCCGTGGACGAAGAAGATGTAAAATTGGAGCTAGTAAAATGCGCAGTTTGTAAAATGGAAATGAATTCCATCGATTGGAGTGATCATAATCAAAAAGAACATAATTATTTTGCTTGGAAGGAAGGAGACCCAAAATTGGTAAGTATGTTATAGATATGAAAATTCCAATTGTGTTTAAAATTTTAGCATTTACAAATATTCTGATTAGAAGAGATTTTTTTTAATTTTTCATTAATAATAGGATTAAAAAATACACTTCTAACATTTTAATACTGTACATAAGAAAGAAATTTCATCTTACTTTCGATTTTATACAGAACGAGAAACTCACCGCTTCTCAATATTTATTTCAGTTATTCATCAATAATTGATTATTAACATGACGAGAAATTTTCCAAATGTTTTTGATATAAAAAAAGATTTTAAATTGCGTTTGAAATTGCCTATTATTAATGATTAGAAACAACGCCATCTCGCGGTTAAAAAAGAGTTTAATAGACACCAAATTGAAAGTGCCTACAATGGCAGATGTGATGGTTTTTTTAATAATTTGTAATGAACATTTCCAGAATCTAGACGATGGGAGAAAAATCTATAATTATTTACGACAAATTTTAAAGAATATTGGATCACTTGTGTGCGGTAAATGTGGCTTTGTCTATCATTATCCTAAAAGTTATATGAAACATATTAAAACATGCAATGGAGATACGGTGAGTGTAATTAAATTCATTTTCTATCTATCTATCTATCTACGTAATAAAATTGGAGTGTTTGTATGTCATATCCAAGAAAAAAATTCTTTTGTTGCGAACGTGATGTTGATCTACCTGCGTTAATTATACTGAAAAACCATTTTTTTTTATTTTTTCTGTATCTGTCAGCTACTCTGTATTTGTTCTGAGTAAACTCCAAAACTGCTGGGCTGATTTTAGCGCGATAAATAAGCTACTATTTTTTTTTATTTTACACTGATGAAGTCACGGTCAACCTTTAGTTATAAATAATAATTTTAAATAACATTTTATTAAAAAGGAATAACGACAGAGAAGAAAGATGATTTGATGCACGGTTGTGGAATAAAAATAGGGTAATTATGGTTTTGTGTGTTTCAGGTAAATAATTCGCATAACGATTCAGTGGTTAGCAATCAATCAAACGATGATGTAAACCGGACACAAAACGAAGGCGCTGACACATCACTTTCTTTTAACGGTTCTGTGGAATGTGGGGTTTGTTCCCAGGAAGTTGCCGGCACAGAATGGTTGGATCACATACATAAAGAACATAATTACTTAGCCAAAATACGAGGAGTTCCACCTCTAGTAAGTGCCTAAATTATATGAAAATACATATAACGGTCTGTCCTCGGCGGTATTTCCAAACCAATAGTCTTAATATATCCTTCGAAAAATAACAATAACTAGTTTTTCTTACTTTTGAAGAACTTATGTACCAATTTGAGATGTTTTTTTTTTAATTTTTCAGGATTTAGAAAATGTTGAAATGGTCCGTAAACATTTGTATAGAATCCGATTAATCACTAAATACCTTTCTTGCGCTAAATGTGGAACGAAGCGGAAAATGGTTAAAAAATTCTTGGAGCATATAAAAGAATGTAATGGTACTACGGTAAGGAATTGAATAAACTTAAAACCAATAGAATTGTCGGCGAAAGCTAGCTTAATAATAAATTTCATGTTTTCAGAATACAATGAATGAATCAACTAATAATGTTGAATCAGAGTTGGATAATTCAAAAGATGTATCTATTTGGGACAAAATAACATTGGAGTACAGTGGTACTGTCAAGTGTGGGGTGTGTCTAGATGAGGTGGAGGGCAAGCAGTGGCTCCAACACATACAAAAGGAACATAACTATATAGCTTGGATAGAGGGAGCACAGTCACTTGTGAGTACGCAATATTTTTAAGTTGTTAAGTTATTGTCTTTTAAAAGAGTAATTCAAGCCACTATATCCCTAAATAATACCATACATCTTACTAATGTTATAAATGTGAATGTTTAGATGGATGGATGTTTGTTTGAAGGTAGCTCTAGAACGGCTGAACAGATCGCGATCAAATTTGAAATATATATAGAACATAGTCTGGAAGAACACATTAGCTACTAATTTTGTTTTTTTCTAATTCCGCGTGGAGGGAGTCGCGGGCGTCTGCCAGTACATAAATATATTGTGTTATTATTTTTAGAGTTTTCAAATAGAAGAGGAAACTTCTCAGTATTTAAATAATGTGGCAAAACAAACTGGAGTATTGATATGCGGTAAATGTGGTCTGAATCGTAAATACGGCAAAGCCTTCATGCAGCACGTCAAAGAGTGCGACGGCAGTAAGGTAATCTCTTTTGTTAAAAGCATTTTTAGACGGATTTAGTTCATTTTAAGTCTGAACTCCATTATAATTTGAAGTTTACTTTGCTATTTTTCTATTATAATTACAATTATAATAGAAAAATAGCTATTAAGCTAAAATTTTTTAGCTTTCGCAAATACGATTCAATATTAATCTTTTTTTGTTATCTTCCAGGCTGCCTTGGTCGATCAATTAAATGATTCTGAAATAATCAAAAATAATATAAATTCAACATATTTGGATGACTGCACAAATAGTTCTGGGCAAGTTAAATGTGGTGTTTGTGGGGTGGAAGTGGAGGGGGAGCTCTGGCTGCAGCACATACAGAAGGAACACAATTATATAGCGTGGGTGGAGGGGAGGCCGCCTATTGTAAGTACACTGTACACGAATCTATTTATCTCGAGGAAAAGAGTTACATATTGTCTCTCGAAATGTAAATCTTTTCTTCGAACCGATCGAAATATTAGAGTAAATTGTTGTTAAAGATTAGTTTTTCTAATTCACAGAACAGGGAAGATAAAGAATTAATAAATACCTATCTGAAACTACTTATAAGACGTATCGGAGTGTTGGTCTGTGGAAAATGTGGTCTACCTCGGAAGTTAGCAGGATCGTATTTAAAACATGTTAGCAAATGCGATGAAAATAAGGTTAGTACATAAAACATTGGAATTTAAAAGATAGGTATATACATACACATACAATTTTTGTATTTATATAGCAGAACAAAAATATGCTTTTTGGACCCTTTACGTCCCGTTAATGATAAAATTGTGTTCCGCATAGCAATTAGTACAAAGTTCCGAGCCGCAAAGATATTTGTAGACCTAAATGCTTATGTTTACAGGAGGAAGCAGAATCGAGTATTCAAGAGGATGCAGATGAGCAAGAGAACGAATTTATCCACACTAAGCCTGTCCAATGCGGCGTCTGTCTGCAGCAAGTCGAGGGCAGCCAGTGGATTAATCACATTCGCCTCAAACACGAATATTTGGCAAGAATTGCAGGAAAACCACCCTTAGTACGTATGAAATAATATCAAATTTATGTTAAAATTTATACGAATCCTTTTTATATTTAGGCTCCTCGTGACATTAAGTTTATTGTTTTTAAATTATGTAGTTTGCCTCAAATTATAGTAATAATAGTCCTATATACAAGTGTTTCTGTACTAACAATAATTTTAGGATGTAAATGATGAAGAGAAAGTTCGGAAACATTTGATTGCGATGAGGAAGCACGTGGAGCAACTTGTTTGCAACAACTGCGGGGAGAGCCGCAGACATGTCGGAGCCTTCCTCAGGCACGTTCAGTACTGCGATGACGCTGAGGTAACTCCACTTGCTTATATATTTTAAATAAAAATACTTAGTATTATAATTTACAAATTAAAATTATAAGGCTTTACTTCACTCCATATAATGTTGTTTTTATTCACTCTTTATAATGGCGCAAAATGCTTGGTTTTATTTTGTAATTACATGAAAGAAATAAAGCGTAACCCGTTGTCGATATTGTATATTCTATCATAGTAGCCATTTTCAGTAATAAAATGACTCATAATTGTTTCTCTAAAAAGTTATGTTTCTATGGTTTTACACAATTTTATAAAATTTAAATTGTTACTAACTTCACTGTTGAGTTAAAAATAATGATTACATATTTAATATCTCATATGTATTATAAATATATATTACTTGTTTTTTTTCTGCCAATTAATAAATAATAAATAGCCCTATATAAAATATACACTGTATTTAATATTTATATTTTATTAATAGAAAAGTGACAATGGGTCAGTGGAGATGGAAAATGAAGTAACATTTGCACCGAGTGGCAGAGTTCGTTGCGGCGTCTGCAAGCAGGAGGTCGAGGGAGAGGAATGGATCAATCACATTCAAAAAGACCATGACTATATGGCAACTATAGAAGGAACACCGCCATTGGTAAATCTACACACTTATGATGCTATATTCAGAGATAAGCCACATGGGTACAGATAAGACGGATGTAAAGTAGAAGCTATTACGCGTTACGTCTGATGAGTGTGGTGCCAGAGGCCTAATTTTATCCCTCTGTCCCTTCCCATCAATTTTCTTATTTTTATAAGATGTGAAGGGGAAGTAGTTTTCATAGAGGTGGGGACGCATAGGAAGAAGAAATATTCTTTTTCTGTGTGTCCCCTCCTCCGTCCAATAACGGTAGGCAACGCATCTGCAATTGCGATGTCTATGGGCTGCGGTTACTACGGTTTTTCTGCGAATTTAAGTGACCGCTTGATATAAAAAAAAACTGAGCCACTCGTCGCCGATAGTCGCCCGTCTCGCATAACTCGTAAGTCCTTCTGTAGTAAAAGAAAATATTAAATTGAATGTGAAACAATTTTTAATGTGATTACAGATCTTAGACGATGAACAAGAAATACAAACCCATCTGAATAATATACGACGATATGTTAGAGAACTTGTTTGTAATAAATGCGGCGAAACCCGTAAAGGTGTCAAATCATATTTGAAACACATAAAGAATTGCGATGGTAATGAGGTTAGTTCCTGAAGTTTGTTATAAACTTATGAATTAATTTATTTGCTTTGTTAAGCAAAGTTTGGCTTTAAGTTAGTTAATAAAAACCACTAATCGACGGTGAAGGAAAATCGCTTTCACAACACTCAATACAAATATAGAAAAAGGTTCGGTTTAAACTTTTCTTAATAAAAATTAACTTATTAAACTGAAAGACTGTGATTTAAATAACTTCATAAATTAATAAATATGTTTGTATTACTTTAAGTTGATGATGATCAAGTTGTTTTGTCTTATAGAGACTCTCTACAGAGACGGTAGAGGAAAGCCGACGTGATTCAGTAGCAAGCGTACCTACGGAGGAAGAAAAAGAGTTCCAACTGGAGTTCCCTGGTACCGTGGTATGTGGTGTTTGTGAGAAGGAGGTGTACGGCAACCAGTGGGTACATCACATACGTATGGAACATAATTACATAGCACATGTTAAAGGAAAAACTCCTCTAGTGAGTACAAATAATTTATATCTATGTTTTTTAGACATTATTAGTTAGAATTCCTTGGCGGGAACGGAGCGTTTTCGTTACAAAGTGAAATGTCAGAATGATTAGTGAGGGGACATAGACGTCGACATTTTAATAAAGTTAGTGTTGCGCCAGTACACCGGCACGATTTTCTTCCTAACAGTTTAATGGCGGTTTATATATAAACTATTGGTCTTATTTGAAAATTACTTTATTGTGATATTTAAATAAAATATCTAAAAAAATGTTCAGGGGTCAAGAAAAAAAAAACACCGCGATATCACGAATTCTAATTCTTAGAAGTATCTAGAGGGAAAAATCCCTGGGTGGGTAGAAGTGTCTATTAAATTTTTTTTTGCTTTCCTACAATACTATTTTTCCGTGAATTTCGTTTATTTTTTTCTATTTCCAGGATACAAAAAATATGAAACAAATCAGAGCACATTTAACCGCTGTCAGCAAATACGCGGGTGGGCTGTACTGTAATAAATGTGGACTCATGCGCTTATACGTTAAGTCGTATTTGGTGCATGTTAAACGATGTGGAAATTCTCACAACGTAAGTATTATAAACTACAAATTTGTTATAATAGTAATTAATAGGTTTCGAGATTCATTCGTATAATTTAATTAAAATGAGATTTCATTAATAAATAATGTTAAAAACGCTCGACCAATGTTCTACCAAAATAGTAAAGCAAATTGCAAAAATCAGCCGGCCAAATGAGGTCTCAAATTCAGTGTCCATACAATTTCAATGAGCATTAAATATGTGTATATATCACTATTCTAGCCATTACCTGTAGATACAAATGATCCAGAAATAAAGAAAGAACCGGATGAATCATTCAACTCTGATGATACTACTAAAGTGACTGACAAATTCCTCAATAACACTAACGCTAGCCAGTTTGTATACGAGGGTATTGCTAAATGTGGAGTTTGTCACATTGATGTCAAAAGACAAGACTGGATCGAACATATACAGAAAGAACACAATTATTTAGCCTGGATAGACGGACAGACGCCTCTAGTAAGTACATAAAAATAATGGAAAGAAGTTTTATATGCATTTTAATTATGTATTGATATTATCTTAGACTAGATGTCGCCTGCGACTCCGTCCGCACGGTATTACAAAAAGAAGATAATTCGTAGACAGCTAGATCCGTTCAGCCATTATGGAGATACCTTCGAACAAATATCCATCCATCCATCTATCCATCAATTCATCTAAACATTCGCATTTCTAATCATTATCACTTCACTATACGTCCCCACCGAGGGGCTCGGAGCCTACCCTAAATCAAGGGTGACTAGGCCATAGTCAACCACGCTGGTCCAGTGCGGGTTGGTTGACTTCATACATATCTTTGAATTTCTTCTCAGATACGTGCAGGTTGCATCACAATATTTTCCTTCACCGTTAGAACCTCGGATAAATGTATATATGTAAATCGGAAATCGAAAAACACATTGGTACATGGCGGGATTCGAACCCAGGACCTGTAGATTGCAAGTCAAGTGCTTGACCCCTGAGCCACCGACGCAATTATAATTTATAATAATATTAAGATATTTTAAAGTAAATAATATATAATTGAACAGGATTTGAAGGATGAAGAACAAGTTCACGCTCACCTGTATGAATTGACGACATTACAAAATGGTCTTACATGCAAAACTTGTGATACAAAACGTAAATATGTCAAATCCTTTTTGGATCATATACGAAATTGTAATGTAGCGATGAGTGATATTAGAGAAGGTAATTTTTATACTCATATTTAAAATTTGAATTTAAACATGGCGCATTTTAAACACAACTTAATTTAAGGTACTTTAGTGGAATGTGCAGTTTGCTCAGAAAAGTTACCAGTTGAAGGATGGAAGAATCACGCTATGAAGAAACATTATAACATTGCCTGGACTGTTGGATCAGATCCTATCGTAAGTTTTATTACCTCAACCCATTTGGTAGTACAAAGATGAATAATATATGCGTTCAGTATGTTCTAAAAGGCAAAATTACAATTATTATATTTGATTATGAGGTGGTCACTCTAACAAAAAAAACTTTTATTTTTATATTAGCAGGTTTTTTTGTAAATTTACTGATATATCTTTTACCATTCCAATTGTCTCATGGTTTCTTAATTTTATTTACAGGATTTAAAAAACCCGTATGCCGTAGAAAAATACCTAAAAGAGTATAAGAAAAGTCAAAAATATTTAATTTGCAAAATTTGTAAATTAACACGCGTGTCGTGTGCAGGATTTTATGCACATATACTTACATGCGGCAAAACTGATGAGGTAAACCATAAAAAAAAGAAAAGAAATGTTTTGTTGTGATATAAAATATGTAATAGCACATGTTTTCCAGGAAATAGAAGATTTTAAATCAGTCTGTGAGATTTGCAACAGTAAATATTTGTGCATATATAAGAATCAGCATTTAGCATTTCATAGAGAGCAGGAATATGTCAAGGAAAAGAAATCCCGGGCTTTGGAATTGGCGCAGACCAAGGCAGAAGAAGGAAACACATCAGGTCGCCGGAGAGCTGCCGAGAAGTAAGTGTTCATTATTATTTAGTGTTGCCATTAACTTCTTAAAATATTTTTTTAAAGGAAGGATTTTTGTAAAATTGTTGTATTAGAAAGTCAATATTAAAATATGATTAATGTATTTTCAGAGCAAAAACAGTAATTGAAGATTATAAAAGCAGTTTGAGCAAAGTAAGTAATAATTTGATTTGTTATATAGTATATAAACACGGCTAAACACTCACGTATATTCGTCCGGTGGCGGCACCGACTAGTTTCGAGCCCATCGGGGGCCCTTCATCAGGATGAGCGGTACTGGTATTATTTCGCAGACGCGGCCCGTCGCTCACTACACGTTATATAGTGTTTGGAACATTTGTAACGTAAAAATACTTTTACTCTCTAATTTCATTAATACATCACGTATTCACAATATGTCTGTGTCATTTATTCTTAATGTACATTTCAGTTGAAACACAAATGTCCGTCGTGCAGCTTCGGCACTGACGTGGAGGAGGAGCTGGAGGGACACAGATGCGAGGCGAGCAGCGACAAACTGAGCGACTCCGACGCCTCCGCCTCCGACCACTCGGAGGACACCGACAGTGACGTCGACTCCAACGTCTCTAGGGAAGAGGAGGAGCAAGCCGTAGACAAGAAGAAACGAGTTGAAACTCGTTAGTATCGTTTATGAAAAGTTTTAAATGATTGATCTAGTTCGTATTATAATTGATATTAAAATTTTCATTGCATTTTCTTTCAGCTGCAAAAGTATCACATCATATACCATTTAAAGTAAATAGTGCAAGTAATTACGTCTCCCAAGCGGCCTTGGATTTGTAAGTAGAAAATACTTTTTAGAATGTGTTGTTCTTGATCAAATATCTTATTGGATGCGCTATTTTCTCATTTTTATTGCATAACGATGATTTCTTTAATGCCGTAATATCTATTTTTCAGTTACAATATGCAATATACATTAGATGAATTATTTCCTGATTGGAAACCAAGAGAATACCAAGAAGTGGGTGCCAAAGATTTACCAAAATATATGCCAACTGTAGAAGAATCTTGTAAAGTAAAAATTGGCAATGGAGAATGGTCTACATACAAACGTTTCGAAGCCAAGAATGACATAGGTACTGTTATATCTTTAAAAATGAGAGAGTATTTACAAAGAACAAAACATATGTGTAATATATGTAAGAAATTGTGTATGTGTAGTTTTGGGTATATTCGTGGGCGGGAGCATACGATGCGTGTCGTGGGCGGCGGCGCGGTGCGGCGGGGAGGTGGCGGAGAGCAGCTACCTCGCGGTGGCGGGGCACGGCGCGCCCGACGCCCCGCGCTTGCCCGCCTCGCACCTGCTCCAACATCCGGCGCTCCTCCAGCTCTGGGACTTCGGATACTTCGACAGGTATCACTTTGACTACTACGCTTATGTCAAAGAAAACGTTACCTAAACTTACAATGGGAAGGATTTTGTTACATTTTTAATTTTTTTTAGTGTGCCCAAGTTTGTGCTGGGACTCGCACTTGATTACGGCACTGTGTGGGCGATGGACTGGTGCCCGTCGGGCGCGCGTGATTGTCAGCCGTGCAGCACGGAGCACGCGCCCGAGGCGAGGTTGGGATTACTAGCCCTGGCCTGTTCCAATGGTTCCGCCTACATCCTGCCAGTGCCATATCCCAATCAGAATGCTAAGTGAGTGGCGCTGCTTTCATTTGTTTTGTGTAATTTAGCGATGAAGGTTTTTAATTTTTACTTGGAAACATATTTATTTCAGGAAACCACAGATTATTAAAATAAAACCATCAGTTGAACTTAGGTTATGTAGCAGTGAAAACAGGAGAAAATACCAAGCGACTGCTATTAGTTGGTCTAAGGTAAGGTTATATATTATTATTCTTAAGTTATTATTTATATTAAATTCAGTTACATAATTAAAAAATCTTATGTAATAGTTTTTTATGTGATTTAATTCGTTTTTTCAGCAAAAAGGTCATACAGTTATTTTGGTTGGTTATGCGGATGGCTCGACGGCATTTTACGATTTAAACTGTGATTCTCCACTTTTGAAATCGGTAGAGAACAACATCACTGTAATATACCCATTCCAGGACGATCGACCGCATAACACTTGTATTTCGGGTAAGACAATTTCATGATTAGCACATTGAAATTATAATCGTAATAATTAGTTTGTACAATATTTATTATGGTGTTACAGATGTGGATCTGTTCGCGAGCGGGGACACGGGGGGCGGGGGTGGCGCGTGGGGTGCGTGGGGCGGAGCGTCGTGTACGGGCGTGCACGCAGCGCTGCGGGCGGGTGCGCCGCGCCTGCACGCGCCGCTCGCCACCTCCACCGCGCTCTTCACGCCACATTGGCCCTCGCTCCTCGTCACCGCTGACGAAGCTATTGGTAACGAAGAAAAACATAAATAATTACAGTTTCTGTTTATACTGGATATTATTCTTTTGAGAATCAATGAAATGTTGTTAAAAAATTGTATGTTTGTTTAGCAAATTACATGACAAACGAGCTGGAGTGGCACGGCAGCGGGCGGCGGCTGGGCGGGCAGCGCGCGCTGGCGACGTGCGAGCGGTGCGGCGCCGCGGCCGCGCTCACGCCGCCCGCGCTGCGCCTCATGCGCACGCACCCCGCCTACAGGGACCCGCGCAGAGATGTCAGTACATACAATATATCTTACACATGTAGTATCAACTAATTTATTATATACATTTTTCCTAACAAGAATCGAATATTTTGGGTTTTTAAATAGATAGACCGTCAAAAGCTTCTGCTGATTGATTTTTGTTCGCATATAGGTGGTGGGAACATTACGCATGGCACCGTTGGGTAAGAAAAGAAGTAAACATACAAACGACGAATTATCAATGAAGGTGGAACCGCTCACCTATGAGGACGCCGTCAAAGAGTACGGGATAGAGCTAAAACTCAAAATTCATATGAACAAGGTAATTATACTGTTATTTCTTATAAGCTAAGCTTTGTTAAGCTATTTACTATCAGTTTCGCGACGCACATGTTAAGTTATACAGAAGTCCTCAACTAACAAGAGAGATACAGAAGCTACGTGTGTAGTTAATGTGATGTGGTTAACAGGCGGACCAGCAGGTGGTGGTGAGCGAGGCGAAGGCGCAGTTCCCGGAGCGGTTCCCGCTCGCCGAGGTGCCCGCCCTCGCCTTCTGCACCGCGCCCTCCGCACACAGGCAACTCGCCCTCCCCACGCACTCCGGATTACTCTTCATCGTTACTATGTGACACAACAATATTCAACTATAAATATCTGCTCACGAAAATGTGTATAATCTTAAAATACCAAATTAAGTTGTTCCGTTCACTTCGCATAAATAAAGGCCACAAACACATCAATTACTCATCATCAGATGGACTCATGAGAAGACTGACTTAGAAACGATCTTCCTCTAACGTGACAGAGGCTGATTCTCCTTTAAAATTCATAAGAATAAAATACAAATGTCACGTGTACAAATATTATTATGGTAAAAAAATCATCGTGCAAGGTTTCCGTTACATTACCTGCAAATAATTGTCATATAATAAAGTAGTCTAAACAAATAGTAATTAATAAACATAATTAACAAGAGAAAATTGTTATACAATGAAATACATACGATAAGTTTGTACACAAGAAACATTGCACTGCAGCGGTTTCCTACACGAGTTTGAACGTTAGCTAATCGCAACAAGTATCCGCCATTGCTCCGGCTTCATTTGTACTTAATTAATCTACCCGCGTAACACGCTCCTTGTATTCCACAGAATAACAATTTACATCTTATGTATTAAATTCTCGTGTTCTTAGTTAAAATACTCCTTTGAAACGGCTTCACCGATTTTTATGAAATTTTATACGCATATTCAGTATGAGAATCGGCTACTATATATTTTTAATACCGCGCGGATGGAGTCGCGGGCAACAGCTAGTGTTAAACTAATAAGTAAAATATTTTGTGTATTGAATCAAAAAAGGAATATTAAACTCATTTTAATAATTGACCGATTTGAGACTTTTGTAACGTAGAAAAACTGATTCAAACAGAAATAGATTTAGTCAAATTTATATAATGTTATTGTAAAGTAGTTGTTAAGGAACTCTTAATTAAAAGATAACTTGTTAATGAAAGAAATTGTATATTAGCGTATATGTTTATAAGAGCATCGAGTTTTAATTATCCGTTTTACAATTTTCAACCTTAATGTATATACAAAAACTATACTTTTGCATTGGCTTTGCCATGTAAGGTTTTCTCAAATGCAATTTGTTATCGTCCTTATTATTTATTCACAGTGTAAATAAAAAAAAATGTATATATCTTGTAAAAATATATGTTTTAAGATATTTATTTTTGTACAAATCAAAGGTGATGAATTATATGAATAATAATGTAGCGGGTGACAAAAGTTATGATGAATTACTGTTAAAAAAGTTTAAATAACGAAATAATTTATTTTACGTCATTGTATACTTCGCTATTTATCTTAATAAATTATATTTTGAAATGTTGAAGTTACCGCTTGAGTTGTCCCTTCAAAACTACGATTTCAATATTCCACATTCATTATTGTTGCTTACATTTTAAAATAAAAACATCACAATCTCTTCTAACAATGATCTACTTTATAAAGTCATTATGTACTCGGATAAATTATGTATTACGTAGATGTAAGAAGTTGCTATATTTATATTTTTATTGTTTTTATGACTGCGATGTTATATTTTATGAAATGTTAAATTTCATACAATTTACGCACCATAATATCTGCTACATTCATGCAAAATTAATTTTATATACCTAAATAGTCATATGAAACATCCATTGTCACCCAAACAGCGTAACAATAAGATTCTTTTTATCGTAAACAAACATAATTTTAAACCAAGATTTTTATAATAAATCAAGGTAATGTATGCTACAATTTGATACATTTCCAATTTAATATTAATGTAATTCAAAAACGAACGATTCATGTTATTGTCGTTTTTTTACTTTTACCAAAAATCACAAATAAACTTTTTAAAGTTAATTTAGATGTAATTTTTTATTTTTAACATTTTAAATAATTGAAAATATAATATACCGGTTGAACAAGTTGTATATTTTTGTATTATTTAAGTACCCGGGTAGTTAATGTTCGGTTAGGGTTTTAGAAGTAACAATTAAGAAAAACCATATATCGGATATCAGTGATATTATTATTATTTAAACTCTATTGTATTTATGAATATTACATTGGTTATACGCTGCATATGTTGAATAAAAAGTTTTTTTTAAATAAGTGTTTTATCCTTTTTTTTAAATAAAACTCCTACCATTACAACTTCAGTACATAAATAACTTTTTTCTTGTTTTGATTTTTTTTGATTTGATGAAACATTGCATATCCAATCTGTGACTAAACATGTTGAAATCATGACTCAGTGGCAACACTTGTATATGAATATCATCAAATCAGAATGGGTAAGAGTTATATTGTTCTGTAAAAGATAAAAAACCTTCAATTTTATAACAATAAATTTGCGTAAATCTTAACATATCCGCTAGGTCATTGATAATGGGTTCAATTTAGGCGATGCGATATCTGTAGTTATTAGTCACCTAGTATTTCAAAGTTTTAGATGAGGTCGGAATTACATAAGATGGCCTTATTTTATGTGAGAGGAGCAAACTGTATAGTTCATCGTCTAGTCTTGTCTAACTGTGGACTGTTGATCTTAAATATTCGGAAATAAATGTATAAAAAATGTTTACCGCTGTCCGTTTAGAAAAGATGTAGAGTCGGAATAAAAAGTGATTTATATGTATTACATGCCGTACGTATAGTTGATTCCTATCCGATCTCTATATCCGTAGCACCGGCACGCCAGTGAGAAGCGAGCCGCGGTTAGAAGTGAACGCGTCTCTCGACGTTTTCATATCGCGTACTCCCACTCGTCAACCGTTAAAACTTTTAATTTATTTAAAATTTGAATTAATAAAAAATAAATTTTAATAAACATTTGTCGGTGTTTTCAATTTATTAAAATAATGTTTTGAATTTCGTTTAATTTATAATTCTTATTGGAACTTTGTGACAAGAACTTTAAAAATGATGATGGCCAGTGCGAAGTTGGTGCGGGAGTGCAGCTCGGAGTTGGGCTCCGACGTGCGCTCCCTGTCCGTGGCGTCGTCTTCCGAGGAGCAGGAGTCCACCACAGCCACAGAGTCCGATTATTCCGAAGAAGAAAAAGAATACGAATTGGATGATTTGCAGATTTTAAAAACTATAGGTAAGATATTTTGTTGTGTACCGTAACTGCATGAAAATAATATAATAAATACCGACAGTAATTATCTATTAAAGAAGCATATTTCCATTTCTCTATATTTTTTTTTGTAAACGACTTTAAATACTAACCTAATAGATGTTATTATACTATAGATTTTTAAAACATCAGCGAAGAAACTGTCGTCTCTACTTAAAATATTATGATGCGTGCCTGCTGTATTCGATCTGCGATCTACCTACTTGGAAGTCGAAGTCCAAACCACTCGCCTATTTCAGTGTAAAACAAACTGTATTTGACATTGAAACATTTCCTAACTTTTAACTTTTCGCAAAATTCACTTTGTCAAAGGATTAAAACGCATTAATGGAAATCTTGACTACATCGTTGTTCCCATATGATATTGTGTGGGTCGACCCTACCTACGTTAATCGTCCTATACCTGTATACCTGACCGAGATTTTTATGTACATCATAAAAGTATATGTGTAAAATAACCTTTCGCTACTTCTTTGGGATTAAAGCCATTTCTAGATGTCGTCGAGACAATCTTTCTCCCTGTCAGTTTTTGGAAATAAAATAAAAACGGATAACGATTGCTTTATCTTCTCCGAGATAAAAACGTCAGAGCTTTCAATTGTTTTCTATTTTTAGTAAATAAATCATTGTAGTTATATGTGATAATAATTTATATAACCAAATGCACATCATTTAAGTAATCAAAAGTCTAGGTTAAAATGTTAAGAGCCCTGTCTATACTGAAATTATTAAAAGGATATATTTGATTTTTGCAATGAATGAAGTCAAAAACCACAGGACTTCAAAAATATTTTTTTATTTAAAAGCTGTATGCTCCTCGAGTAACATATGCTATATTTATAACTAGATTTTTTTAATCCTCGCGTAAAAAGTCGCGCAAAGGCTAGTCTAAAGGTATCAAGATATTTTTGAAAAACATTTTAGCAACCTCGACCTAATATAGAAAAAAAATCTTCTGCTTATTTATTAGCATTTTTAGCGACGAGAAAGTTCTGTTTATTTATTTCTAACTCTTTAAACAAATTTTAAGCAATTCGCACTTATGTGTTAAAAGTCGAATTTCAATTTTAGAAATATACTTTAATTGCTATCTTATATTACTTTCGAATATAACGATATAGTCTTAATTAGGTTGTTATAAATTAAAAACAGTGAATGCATTGGTTTGTGTGCATCGTAAATTAGCTTGTGAAATGTTACATTAATATTAATATTTGTGACATTAATGTCAGAATGCAAATTGAATGCAAGTTGAAATAAACGTTTCGAATATATTAAAAATATATTTTTGGAATATTAAAAATTTAATAAAATTAAAAATTATTTGCAGTTATTATTGGTACAAGTAATACAATTTAAAATTACAAATGTCGATCCTTTTAAAGATTTTAGAAAAAGTAAAAAATACTTGAATTAAATTTATTGATGCAGTACTTTACGTGGTTATGAAAAGTGCTAAAACAGTTGGGCTAAGTAAAACTGTTATACCTTAGTAACAATCGGTTACAGAAGTGAGGGCTTTTTAATTTTTAAGATTCATTGACTAGTCAGAATTTTGAATAGATTTTTATGGCCCTTAAATGATAGATTTCACATTAAAATAGGACATATGACCAAACATTGCGTGAAGTATACTCTAAAGATGACGAAAGATAAATCGTGGAAGCACTTCTACAAAACAAAAACGAACTAATTAATTTTGAATTTATATCAGTGGTGATCCGATCTATTGTGACCCTAGATTACATCTTGGTATAAAACAGACAGACAACTCATTTGCATACGTTGATGCAAGTGAAAGTATTCGCTGTTGTGTAGAGAAATGGATTTATATGTTAATACTATATATTTTCTAAACAGATAGAGTACACAAAAGCATATTTTAAAATAGCGAACGCTATTAGCCATTTAATTTTTCTATAAAGAGCGATAAAATATGTTTTTTTTTAATTTAAATAACATCATAAATAGTATTGCTAAAATGAACTTTCATAGTAATGCGGAAGTAGTGTAAGTAGAAAGTACTTGGAATAATATTTTGCGATAAAGTATATGTGTATATACAGCCTTTGACCCAGTAACATAGCAGATATGGGCCAAGGGCATTCGAACTTGTGCCTATCTACAATACGAACCAGGTCGCGCTTCCCCCTGCAGTTATCAGCTAAATATTATAACAAATATCGTTCTCAAGGTTGAATTAAAAATCACAATATTTTTCCAATTCTTAACTTAAAAGTTAAATAAAGTATTAAGCCATCAAGCTACTTGTATACTGCTTTCGCCGGTTAAAATTATTTTTAAAAAGTTCATTTTTTTGTTTTAATTGATGTTAAATATAGCGATGGTTTTGTGACATACAGGTTCTTTATCGCGATATGAACAAGGATCATAAATCGTTCTCGATCTATTATTAGTGCCATTTAATGTCATCTTCAATCGGCGAAAGCTTACTTTCTTAAAAATTACGTATAACCAAAAGAGAGTATGTTTCTAATGTCCTAGGTTATTTTTCGTGCAACCAGATTGTTGGTCATAAAACGGTTATTTACACGATATGATTTGAATAAAAACAACTTTTAAAGAATCTCACTCGCATTTCACTTTCGATCTTAAAGAAGATAAATGTCAAATAACAAACGAACAAGATATTTTAAATCTTAATATTTATTATACATTTAAAAAAAACACATTTCTTCCGAACAAAAGAAATTAGTAAATACTGGGAAAAGCATTGAATAAGGCCTATGTCCAGCGGTGGATGGGCTAATGATTTAAATATATTCTTATATTGCATTAATATCTTTTTTCAATGTTAGGTTAGGTCACTTTAGAAGTTTATTGGGTATGCTGGCCATCTGGAAGAGAATCCCACATAACTACTGTGACCCCCCTGAGCACGGAGTATGCATAAAGCATTTCCCTCTAAAAAAAAGGTCACTTAAGAAGTAGAGCAAAGTGTATATTGTCCTCGCACCGTCCTAGTTACGGTTGCAATAGAAAGACCGACAACCACATACCGTTATAATACTATTAGGTCTTAAGTACTTGGTACATTTGTTTTAAAAAGTACTAAGAGCTATATGCTAACGCTATTAATAGATATGTAATTTATTGTGTCCTTATCTTTCTCGCCTAAATTATTACGCGTACACTTGTAATATCTGGGTCAGTGTGTTTACTAATCTGATAAAACCCGGGCTAATGTGTGTTTGTTTTATCATTTAGACGTTGCACCCTAATTCTGCTCAATACTAATTATTGATTTAACTGTGATATGCGTGTACGGCCTAATATTATTCGCGAGGGGTTTAGAATGATGAAGGCATGTCAATAGACGAACACATCATTAGTAATAGAAAAAAAAATCTTTACTTTCTGAAGAACGATATTATTGTAATGAGTTTTCGGTCTTCAATAAAGATTAAAAAAGTTTATCGAAATTATAATGTTTAGCAAATTGTTACATAGCTCATATTATAAACCAAAGCTGATATCTAATTATCGTCAAATCCTTATTGGACACCTTGTACCAGTTTCTGTTATACAGATAGGTAAATTATATTAATGATAATTATGGTATGGTAATATGAGAAGAAATGTGATGTAGTTTTAGAGTTTCGGAGCTACACTTACACCCTTCAATTGACATAAAGTCTTGAAAAATGCGGATATCAATATTATCTTTATTTCGATTTCTAAACATTAGAAGAATCTTTGTCTAATTTTGTTAATAAGTTCTATATCTGACAAAAATCTATGTAATTATCATATGTTTGGTTCTCATTTTTTATTTGATAACGGTTTGTGGGACAAATATAACAATGTGAGAACTTTATTTTAGTGGTGGTTATGTTGCTTGTACGTAGCAGTACTCGCGTGCGCGGTGTGCGGACATAGAAAAGAAAGCCAAGAAAAACAATGCGCTTGAGAGAAGCGCCAGTGACCGATGTTAGTGACAGCGCGCTCTCCGCAAACCGGTACATGGTCGTCTTTGTCTGGGTTCCGCGTAAATATTGAAATTTATAGCGCTCTTGTACTATTTTCTTATTAAATTATAACTATATTTTATTCCAGTCGCGTTGTTAACATTATTTTAGTGTATGTCAGCCTAATTTAGAAACACAAAACAAACAATTTATTATCTGCAATTTACTGCTATGTAAAATTTAAAATTTCTATTAGAATTATAATAATAAAATTTTGAATTTACATTTATTTGATATTGAATTAGGCATACTTGGAATTTGATATAAACTATGCAAGCCGCTCCTAAAGATTAAGAACGATACTAAACATTTAAGTTCCTTAGTCCGTTCACTATTGAAATAATTATAAATACTAGATAAGTTATAAGCACAGCTTATTACATTGAATATTAGCTGTCGCCCGCGACTCCATTCGCGCGGAATTAAAAACAAACTAAATAAATAGCGTATGTGTTCTCCCAGACTATGTTCTACATCTATGCCAAATTTCAGCGAGATTCATGCAGCCGTTCCGGAGATACATTCGCATTTATTATTTTAGTAAGAAATTAGATTTGTAAGATATTATTTCTTTGAAAAATAAACGGCTGATTGACGGTTTGTGATCATTGAACATATAATTTTTACATCTTTTTGCGTAGCTGGGTTAAGGTTAAAAAAGGTTTTTTTTCTTCGATAAACTCCAGATTTAACAGTATCGTTGCCTTGACGGTTGGGTGCATCGGCTGCTGTAGATGCAACGCCCTTGGCCGCTTTCCACCATCTGCTATTCACTTATCTTTATTATTATTAATATTGCGAGTAAATGCGGGTTGCGAGGGCCAGACACAATGCACTTTTATTGACATATTTCCCGTTATGTGAAAAGTTTGTTGCTGTGTGGATTTGGCATAAAGTTATACTCGTGTATGGAATAAGTAGGATACCCTGTTATAATCTTATTTTACTTTGCATTCTTCTTCGTGAGCCTTAAAA